AAGTAGTAAACAATAATCCAAGAAGACGTAAAGAAGAGAACTCAGTGAGAGGGTTGCCATTCATTAATATATAGGACTGTCGATAGTATTGCGATATTGTTTGCACTAAATAACTGAGTTTCAGCTCTAGCCTCTCCGCTTCCATCTAATGCACGATAACCTTTTTCAGTCATAGCAGTTAGCAAGTAACCCGTAGAGCGAGAGGTTTGAAAACTGTATTGATTGTCTTCCAGTAAGTTTTTTTTATTTATTAATTGATATTCATAATTGTCAAATGCTTATACAAGTTTTTATTAACAAATAACGGTATTCATAATATATACTTCTAAATCATCATTTAACGGACAAGAATTAAATAATGTAAACAACATAAATAATACTAAAAAAAAGTTTAATGCAACTAATTCATATGTATGGGATCATGTAGATATGTGATGTAGATGTGTAATGTAGATGCGCCAATCACTAATGATAAATTCGTAATCTTTCAACATTTCCGAAAAAAACTATATTAAAAAAATATGAAAAAATGGAAAACAAAATAATCTGACGATTCAACAAGCTACATAACTTAGGCATTTAAAATATGTCTATATGATATTTTATAATGTCTTTATGCTTTTAAGATTTGTAATATGCGATGCAGAGGCAAATCTAGAATGAAATAATGTTCAAACAAAATTCGTCAAAACTAGGGTTCGGACTGTTGTAGTTGTAATTGTAAAAATAAAATACAATATCACATTACAACACAATAATATTGTATTGCAATGCCAGAGATATAGTTAAAACACTATTTATTGCTATTGTATTGCTGTGATGAAAAACAGTTGCAATAACTATTGTATCGTTTTTGTTCTAACAATACCTTGAAATCCTAAAACTATTGTTTTATATAACTATTGGGGTGCGTTGTATTACCATTTCCAACAGCCCGTGGCTTTCGTTTTCAGCAGTCGAAATTACCCTACTTTACATAGGGTAAAGTAGGGTAATTTCGGCGTATTAAGCTATTTTGCTGTTTATAGACAACGGTTGCTTTAATAATGTTAAAAAATCATGCATATCGATGCACTGCAGATATATCTATTAAATAATAGTTAAAAAATTGTTTCCAACTTACAAAGTTTTACGTAAAACCTGTTTTACAAAATACTCAAAAATGACAAAATTAGCGACCTAGTATGGTATTTTCGGCACTATGGTACGGTAAATTCGGCATAGTTATGAAAATTAAGAAGTTTGTTGAAAACGCATTAATATATTTAAAATATTATAAACAGCTATAAATCTGGATTGTATAAAGAATTGTCTCCTAAATAGAATTTGTTACACCTAATTGGCACTTAACTAAGGGCATTTCAGTTGCAAAAAATAATAATTATTGAACCACCTATTCATTTTATTAAAGTATAAATGTCGTGTATTTTTAAAGTATGAATGTCACCTTTTTTATTAAAGTATGAATGTCACCCTAAACAGAAACCTTATTAAATATAAATGTGCTTCCAAAGAGTAATTGTTAATGAAACGATTACTAATTTCTACGATTTCGATGATTATTTCTAAATTCTGTTTAAATAAGAATTTATGTTTATAAGCTCATAAGTTTTTATATATATTATTTGTATTATTATAGTAGAAATATAAAAATTATATAATATTATTATAATATACTCGTATATATTGATGCATAATATTTATAGTATCTATATTGTTTATACTTATTATAACGTATCGTATATAGTTATTGTATATATTATTTGTATTATTATAGTAGAAATATATTATAAATTATATAATATTATTATAAATTACTAGTATATACTAATCCATAATATTTATAATATCTAAATTGTTTATATAATGTATCATATATAGTTATTATATATATATTATTAGTGATATCATATTAGAAATATATTGTAAATTACATAATATTATTATAAATTATTAGTGTATAATAATCTATAATATTTATATCTATATTGTTTATAGTTATTATAACGTATCATATATAGTTATTATATATATTATTAGTAAAATTATGTTAGAAATATATTAAATATATTATAAACTATATATATATATATATATATATATATATATATATATATATATATATATATATATATATATATATATATATATATATATATATATATATATATATATATATATACAAATCGTTTATATTAATCTATAATATTTATAATATCGTATCCATAATATTCAAGAAAATTTAAAATTGGGCAACCTTGTATTTTGATTTTTCACAATTTAATGTTGTAATAGAGCTATGACTATATTAATGTGTAATGTGTCTATGACTATATTAATGTATATATATTTTTTCTGGTGTTCTAAAGTTTAGTTGTAAACTGAAAGTTATTTTATTTGTATATTGTTTAATGATAACAGATAGATTATTGCCTAAAGTCGTTGCCTAAAATTTTTACGCAGTTTTGATGATAAAAAATAAATGTTAAAAAAAAAAACTGAAAAGAAAAAGCGCATTTTTTGTCTAAAAAAATGTCAAATTAGGGAGTATTAAAATGCAAATTTCTTGATAACCATAAATATATAAAATATATTTTTATATATTTATGGTTATCAATTTCTTGATAACCATAAATATAAAAAAAATATATATATATATATATATATATATATATATATATATATATATATATATATATATATATATATATATATATATATATATATATATATTACGTATACTAAATAAATATAATTTCAGGGACGCTTGTGGTACCTGTTTCTAGCAATTATTTACATTTAAAAAATTTTATTTATTTTGAATTCAATAATATAACTGTTTAATCAATAATTTATTTAGAATTATCATTAATAATATTTATTATTATTGATAACAAAAAAGTGCTGCTACAACCCTTAGTTGTAGCAGCACTTCTTTGTAGCAGCAGGCTGTAGTAGCAGCACTTCTTTGTAGCAGCAGGCTGTAATAGTCGATGAATGTACTAAAGTAATAATAATTCTTTGTTTGTATTAAAAAGTAACCACTTTGAACAAGTCTAAAAAGCACAACATTCAAAAAAATAAAATTATTTTAGGCCGCTCAACTGTAGCATAATTATATTTGCAGTAATCACTAACGTAAATTTTTGCTTATGTGAATTCCGTAATAGCATTTTGAAATAGATGCGAAAGTTAATCTTTTTTACATGAGTTCCCAGCCAGCATTTGGTCCGATAAAGAAGTTTTTTGAACGCTCGAAACACTTTTTTTTGGGACTCAATGCTGGCTGGCTTAGGGGTTTTTAGCTAATTATCGCATAAAGTTTTTCTCTATATCTTGTAATATTTAGTTTAATTTCTTGTACTTTAATATTTTAAACCATGTTTTTATCTTAATAATAAATTCATTAACTTGAGTCTTTATAAATTTTGACAGATTACTTTTGACTGGATTAATATAATTAAAAAACTTTCTATTCAATTATGCTTTTGATAGAAATTTATTATTTAATTACTGTTAGTTCGCATTGCATTACTTATTCCTAAAATCATGTTAGTCATAATATGAAATTCTTCTAATAACGATAGTTTGATGCATTTTGCCGAATCATTTTTTTTTAACAAAGTCCCTATAACTAAACTAATATTTATGCAATTTATAAAAAAATAATATTGATTTAACAATTAATTATAGCAGTAATAATACTAATAATAATAGCGTTTGATATTTTCATTTCATAAACTTTAAGATTTGAGTTACTCTTGTTGTCATAGAAACTTTTAATGACACGTACAAGCTCTTAATGCTCAGTACACACACAAATACTTTTTTGTTAAATATTATTTCTAATCAAAATTTTGATTAAATATTGCGAAATTGTTACTTCTAGACGTTTTTGAGTAAAATGGTGTCTACGTGCTTTAACGTTAAGGTGGATTACATATCTGCGATTATCCGTACCGTAAAACAATACTTCAAAATTTATTATCTAATGGAATTTGAGCAATGTATACAAGAGTTATCTTAAAAACTTAATTAGCAAATTAAATTTTCTCTAACTCTCTAAATGATATAAGCAAATAATATAAAAATATGATGTTTGAAATTACATTTACAAAATTTTTATTAAAAGTACGCCGACGCTTAATAGTTTGACAAACCTCTAAATTATGTCAACAGTCTAAACCATTGATTAAAGCGTGAGCCTCAGAGTTAATAGGTCCAAGGTTCGATATTTGCACATATAAGCGTTATTCTTAAGAAACACAAAGTAAACATCCTCGTTAATGGGTTTTCTATTTATTTACTTGTAAACAAGACCGTTAAATAGAAAATAGATAAAGGTCTTTTTTTTTGGAAATATTTCAAAAACGCTTTAAAAAATAATCGCTATAATTGTGCACTTTTTTCATTCGCTTTTTTACCAAATATTTAGAATATAGAGTTTCGCTAGGATACATTTATATGCTCCAAAACTAGTCAGGCGCGTTGTAGAACTGAAGTGCTTTTTGAATTGTGCATGCAATGTAAATGCAAATATTTGTTGTAAATATATACATATATGTATATATTTATTTATACATATATGTATATATTTATTATTTATATATATACATATATGTATATTTTATTTTTTTTAATATATATATATATATATATATATATATATATATATATATATATATATATATATATATATATATATATTAGCGAAATTTGAATAAAAAACTGAAAAAACTTTTGTAACTTGAGCCTTCAAAAATAAATTCTATAGATAAACCTAACAAATATTCAGAGAAAGCAAAATAAAAATTTTTAAATGAATTTGAAATTGTGGTTCAATTTAATTAATTCGTTTAATTTCACTAATATACAAAACTATAGAAGCCTAAGGTTTGAAATGAACTACCTATTTTAAAATAACAAAGTGAAAACTTAAAAAAGCAAGTTAACGCTATTGGTTTTAATTAAGTCTCTTTTGATCTTTTTATTCAAAACTGTTTTTGACGTCGTTGTGTTTAAACATGATTTAGCTGACAAAAACTGTTAACATTCCAAGTAGATGAATTTTAAATAAAAAGATTTCAATCAACTTTGTTACGTCGTTGTTATAACGAAAGAACAAATTATATAAATTATTCATCATGGATAAAGGTAAATACTTTGCCACTAATTTTTAGGACAAATGATTACCTTTAAAAAGAAAAAAGTTACATTAATCAATGAAAATTTAAAGAAATTTTATTTTATAAACATTTTTTATGGTTATAAGCATTCTTATTCAGATTATTAAAGTTTTGTATAAAACTATAAACTTATATACAACTGTAAATAAAACTATAAATAAAACTTGATTTTAAGATCATTTAGTTTATACATAACATTTTTGGGTTCAGAGCAACAATTTTTAGACTGTCCCCTTCTTAGAACTAGGTTTCCAAAAATCACATTTTATTTCTAAAGTTCTATCATAGTTTAGATTAAAAGTTATTTAGAGATGTCAAATTTCATCACCTGGAATTTAATTTGTTAAAGATTTATGACTATTTGAAGTTTAAAATTCCCCTCGTTTACCACCCTAAAATAACTCTAAAAGTTGTAACATTTAAAACCAAAAAAAAAATGCAAAGTCTTTTTGGAGCTAAATCCAAGAGAAGTAGGGGATTGAAAAACCATCTAAGACACTACAAAATCATACTCACAAAATGCCTGTGTTTTTAGAGTTTCAGAAATAAAATTGAAAATTAAAATTTCATAATTCAGTTACTACTATTTCAATTAATAATCAAAATTTCAATAAAAAGTGTTCTATTACTGATTTATTTCCGGATTTGATGGAAACACTGTTTACTTCCGGGTTTGATGAAAACACTGTTACTACTCAATGCTAAAAAATACTATAATACAATACCATTTTGAGATAACTTTAAATATTACAAAAACAAAAATAAAAAATAGGCTCTATTTAATAAATCTTAATCCGGAAAAACAAAAAAATTTATTTGTATGTTTTATCGCATATCACTTTATTAAGAAATACCAAAATGTTATTATTCTTGCATTTTAGACATTTTTTTCTCTGATTTGTTTTGTTTTCAAGTTTTCAGTGTATGTTTGCTGTGAAATTGTTTTGTAACTGACTCATGTTTGATTGAATTAAGGAGCATGAGGAACTTAAAATTAGGATTCTTCGTATACAATTGCATAAAATTTTATTGTACAGTGCGTTTAGAAAGTCCATGCATTAAGTTAAACTTAAATATATAAAACAAAATTAAAGTCTATTTATCTGGTATAATATGATCTTGAACAGAAACAGTTATCATTTTAAAATATTTTTAAATTAAGCCATACCTTTGAATTTAAAAATTGGAGTTCAAATTTGTTGATTAATGGCAAAATTCGAGAATGTGGTTGAGGTTATTAGATGCATAAAGCGGGTAAATGCCAAAAAACGAGATCCAAGAACCGTTATCTTAAAAATGGATCAGTTAAAGACCGAGATCGAAGCGGACGACCAAGAACGAGCAATGAGAACGCGCAAAACCAGAGAAGCAATTTTTTGTGCTGCCGCTCTTATAGTCTTTGGAAAAGTCTTTTTTTTCTTTCTGATGAAACCACTTTTCACGTATCCGGTGGAGTTCCTGAGCAAAAATGTTAAATTTGAAGTCACGAAAACCTAAATACTGTGGAAGAATACAACCAGCAAAGTCCGAAAGTTAATATTTGGTGTGGTATTTTTTTTTTAAATGCGTCGTAGGATCATACTTTTTTGACGAACGCACTATCGATGGCCTAAATTACCTCGAGATACTTAAAGATTTTTTTCGTCGAGTATTGGTTTAAAAACGCATTGTCAGGCGCATTTATTTCCGAAGGTATGAAGCTACGCACACTACACTTTTGATCTTATAGAGCTTAGTTAAATGAGAAGAATTTTATAGATAAGTAAAAATTTTTAGAAAGTTACAGGATTGCACTATGTATCAAAGCGCCACAGCAATCGTTTAGATCTAGTTCATCTAGTGTTTTATGTGGTTTTAAATTCAAATTCAAATGCTGCGTGCTTTTATTACTGGTTACGAAGATTTAGTATTATATTATATTACGTTTCCGTAACGGTGAAACCATTAATAATTTATATAAACACCTTAATAATCTGATTAGTGTTTTGGTAAATAGTAATAGTAAAATTCACGGAATTGAAACCCTATTCTTGACACGTGTTATAATTTTTGTTTTAGGGGGTTTTAAACACGGAACATAAACTATGCTTAACTTTTCACAAAGTTGCACCAGTTGGATTTCACTAATGCTTCATCAGACAGTTTTTAAACAATGTATGATATTGTGATATATATTTTGACCAAATAAAGAAGAATAGAGGAAAAAAAGATAGAGTCAAATTACCTTTAGAAGGGGTGTCGCTAACCAAAACAACGGTTGCACAGTAACTTATACTTTACTGTTTGTGTTGAACATCCATTGAATGATATATTGATGCTAAAACCCCCATAGTCAAATTCTTCAATTTCAAAAAAGCATACTTTGATAAAATCTTTTATAGGAATCAGTATGCACATAAAAGATAAGTTTGAGTGGAAGCTTGAGCAAGTTACCCAGCCAGCATTTGGTCTTAAAAAAACGTTTTTAGTACATTTAAAAGAGGTGGTGCTGCAGCAAGTTTCACTGGTTGCACCAACAACGTTTGCACAATGAAGACAAGAATGAATAAAGAAATATTTAATTGAGGAAATACTAAACTGCAAACTTCAAAAATCTAAATAAATGTGAAAAAACTGTTAAGATCTAGAACTATTTTTAATTTAGAGAAAGTCAATCTTTAAACTGTTTCCAAGTTCTAAAGCGTTTTATATATCACGATTAACGATATAAACAATTTTTTAAATAACAGCCGCAAGTCAGGATCTGTAAGAAAGAAGGGGTTTAAAAATAAAAAGTTGAGCATTAATACTAACAGAACTATTGTTTGATCATACAAACCGTTTGTATCTTAGATACAAACGGCTTGTACCTGATAGTCGTATTTATTTGTATTCAGATAGTTAGTTTTTAAAAATATTATTAGCTTAAGTTTTATTTATATATTTTTAGAACTAAAAATTTCCACAACAACAAACCCTCTATCATAAAATTACATTTTATCTATAAATTTTCAAATAACCTGCAGTTATTTGAAAATTCCTAGGCCCTCCTGAAGCAGGAATGGTGTTTTTGGAGGTCCCTTTTTCTTATTCAGAGATAAGCTTCTGAAGCACATTTGCATAGATTCTACTTTATGAGTTACACGAGAGCGTGCAATAACTTTAAAAGAGACCTCTACTAGCCAAACATCATACTTCTTACTTACTTTAGTATTGCGTATGTCCGACTTGTTTTCAACATACTTATAATTTTGAGTTATCTTTAAAAATAATTTGCTCAACCTCTGATTTCCTCAGTCAAAATTTTAATTTAAACCTCATTGACAGTTTTGGACAAACATAGCTTCATTGTGAAGATGTGTGATTAAATGAATCATTAAATGAAATTTTTTTTTCTTGTTGAAATATTCAGTATATATTGAATCATTATTATTAATATTTTATTTCTAAGTTAATAATACTTTATTTTAAGTTTTACTTCACTATATTTGTTGGTATACATTATATTTGATAGTATAAAAGTCATATACCATATTTTAACTATTTTTCTTGTTTCTGGTCCACTGGACCCTTGCGTAAAAATTCAATGTTAAATCATTGTATTCAAGTGTAAAAACATTTGTAAGATATATATATATATATATATATATATATATATATATATATATATATATATATATATATATATATATAAAATATATTTGTTTATATTTAGCTATTTATCTACAAAATGGAAACTCCTCATTAAAAGCTGAAACGTTTTTTACTAGACCAAGTTTGTACATTAATCGAGAAATTCTGTTATGTCAAGACAAAGATGAAACACTATGTCAACACCAACTAAACAATCCCATTGAAAAGTCTAAAAAAAAGAAACAAGATACCAAAATACGATTACAACCACCAAACTTTGAAATGAAAAGTTTTTCCGCTTTGCACTCTTTTTTTAACAAATCTCAAGTTATATCTGAAAGAAGAAGCTTAAGCGTCGGAGATTTGAGCTCTTGTGAGCTTTTTCTTAGTCAAAGTATGTGTGTAGATACTCTTAAAGAAGGAAAAAGTTGCGTATTAAATAGCAGGCGCAACGCAATAAATTTGGATTTTAACAACAACAATGAGTATTTGACGGATCTAGTAGAGTTTAAAATAAAATACGAAAACAAACTATCAGTGATTGATATTGCAAAGCAAGAGGAGATTTTTGTAAAAAATAGTAAAACCATAAATGGCAGATATCGATCCTTAACTGATCTAAAAAATTTCATGTGTTTATCAGATCTTAAAACTAAGCAACATCAAAAAGACATTTTGGAAAACTATACAGCTAATAACGTAACCTTAATGAAAGATACTGTAAACAAATTATTCAAAATAAAAGAAATTTATTTTGATAAACAAGGAAACGTTATAAAAAACATAGAAATACAAAAACTGCCCGGACAGCCATTAGGTTTTTATATTCGAATAGGAAACGGTATTGAAAGAAATCACAAAAGTATTTTTGTTTCTAGGGTTACCTTGGGAAGTTTTGCTGATCGTAACAGTTTGCTTTATGCCGGAGATGAAATTTTAAGTGTAAATCAGGTATATAAATATACTTTTTATTTGTTAAAATAGTTTGTTTTTTGCCTTTTTTTTAAATCTAGTTTTACTATTCAAATCATACTTAAATCATACCAATTTGTTTATTTAGTTTTAAAAAATAAAATATTAAAATAAATTTTTTTTTTGCTCAGCATATTTTAGCATATTTTAGCATGAAATTAAAGGACTATCTTTGGAAGAAGTTGTCTCCATGATACAAAAATCCAACACCTTATGCATAGAAACAAAATCGTCTATGCCTTTACTCATTTATTCGAAACCAAGGTTGCACGAAAACGATACTAAAACTCATTTGCAGTCATCCTATAACTCCACTGAAAATTTATTAGATGAAATCCAGACAAAAGATGGCTTATTTTGCAGTTTAACTAAAGATTTCGAAAAAAAGAAAGTTGCATTCGATCATAGTTTAGAGGTATTATTTAAAAAGCAAAAATATTTTGCTGATAATGCGGCATTTAAAACGATAAGCGAAATTAAAAATACAATGTCGATGAAACTTAAACCAGAGAAAAATCATTCAAGACCTAAACAATACATAATTGATTTACTGGCAACACAACTTGATCCCAAGGGGTTTAACAAAGTAAGAGATACTTCATCATTTCCTGATATTAACAAAGATATTCGTATTTATAAAAGCGATCAAGTAGATTTTGTGCAAAGAAAAAACTTTACTGGAAGTCTTAATGTATCTTTATATAATATAACCAATTGCCAAGATGAAGGTTATTTTTCATGCAGTATAGAAATCGATGGGGAAACAAAAGCAAAAACTTCAGAAAAAATTATGAAAAAAGATCTTATAATTGAGGAATCATTTGAAATAGAAATAAATGAAGCTTCCTTAGTAGAACTAAATCTATTTTCAAATGATATAAAAATCGATACAGGTAAAATATATTTACGAAAGTTGTTGGCATATGAAAGTAAAGCTCAAGTATTATTGATAACTGATGAGTTTGGTTCAAAGTTGAATTTGTCCATTGAATTCATTGGTATTGACAATTTTTTAAAACGCACACCATCAAAACGTTTTAAAGGTCTGTTTGGTTTTACTATCGCACAAACTTTGATTGATGATGGAAATACCATCCCGCTTATTGTTAGGAAATGCGTATATGAAATTGAAATGCGTGGTTTTTCTCTAGAGGGTATTTATCGTATCAGTGGAAATGCGAGGAAAAAAAAAAATTCTTAGAGCCATATTTGAAGAAAAAAATATAGAAAATTACAGTATTGATGAGTTTGATTGCCACGTGATATCAGGCGTTCTCAAAGATTACCTAAGAGAGTTGCCTGAACCTTTGATTCCACAAAACCTTTTTTTTAAGTTATACGAAATGTCACTTCAAGGTAATAGAAGCAGTTCTTACGATACGGCTCTATTCGACATAATAAAAAATGTGCATTACTCAAACAGAGCAACATTAATTTATATTATGGAGCATTTGTTAAGAGTTGCTTCGAGAAAAGACGAAAACAAAATGGACTTTAAAAATATAGCTGTATGCTTTGGTCCAGTAATGATGTGTCCTCCGGCTAAAACATCTGAAATGCTAGATTTCAAGAAACAGGTTGATGCGTTAGAGTATCTTCTTGAAATTTGGCCAAAATCATCCAACCAAAATCAAGTTTAATCAATTGTTACGCAATATAAGTTATTCAATTGTTTCAAAACTAAATTACTTAATTGCATTAAAACTTAATTGCTTGGTTACTAAAATACTAAAATGCTGGGCCGTTATAAAATTTAGTTACTTGTTTGTTACTAATTACTCAGATACTGAGAAAACTGTCAAGTTGAAACATTGTAAGAAATATTGTATTGTAAGAAATTTAGTTTTATAGCAATGAGTTAACTCATTGCTATAATACTAAACTTCTCAGTAACTACGACACCTAATTACTCAAGATATAAAACTAAAGTGTTAGGCTGCTTTGAAACATAACTAGTCAATAGCTTCTACAAAGCTTAACTGATCAATTGTTTTAAATTGACAGTTTTCTATGAAGCTTTATTTGCATAAATTAAAAAAATTAAATGAAAAAATATGAAAAAAAAATCATAAACTACTTTATTAGTTTATGTTTAGTTCATTATAGTTATTATTATTTACTCATTTAATTTTTTTTTTTTTTGTCTAATTTTATACATTAATAATATTGTCTTTATCCATGTTTTTTTATATAGAACTTTATTCTACAAAATTTAAAACAGAACCCATAAAAAACAAACCTTAAAAGATTTGAATTTTGCATTGTTAAACTTTACAATTTTTTTTGGCACGAATAGAAAACAATTTTTTAACAGTAACCTAAATTTATCGTGATAAATCTATTCAACCTAGCTACTACCAGCCAAATCTTTATTAGAAGTAACTACACTTAATGCACCAATCTCTTAATAATTCAGTCAGTGAACAACCACTGCGCACAAAAAAATAAGTAAAAATAAAACAAATAAATAAAAATACTTTAGACTTTTAGTCACCAAAGTTGTTTTGTTATATTCTAAAACGGCAATTAAATTAACTGTGTTTTGTTATATTCTAAACAGCGATTAAATTACCTGTGCTTTTTCTATACTAAAATATAAGTCGTGATTCCTAATTAAAGATATATTACTTTACTAACGACATTTAATTTATACTTTTTTACATTAAATTTTTCATCTCAGTATAAAGTACAATAAAGTATAAAAGACAGTAAAAATAGTAAATAGAAATACAGTAAATAGAAGTATATAAAATAAAAGGCTGAATTAGTTGATTAGAAAAGTGAAGTTAGCTTCAGAATTTATTTATTACAATACTTAAAACTTCAAAAAGAAAAACTATACTTTTTATCCTCAAATTTTTAGGAAACTTCATATGTAGAAACGTATAATAATACCTATAGCAATTTTAAAGGTATGATTGCTTTTTTTGAAAATAAGGACTGTAACCTGGGGCAAAGTGAGACACCGGAGCACAGAGAAGTATTTAGTTTTTCTAGCCTTATAAAGAACTTTTTTCTTGCGGTGAAGTTTTTGTAATTTTTTATTTCAAAAAAAACATATATATATTGATAATAAGCAATTGATAATAAAATAATCTCTTTAAACACAAAATTTCTAAATGAGAACTACAATAAAAAAAACTAATCGAGCAATGTACTCGAACAAAGATGACGAGAAACGCTTCAACAGCTAAAAAATTTAACCAAATGTCTATAAGACAGGCTTTCGAGAATTTTAATATGCCTAAAAATTCTTTATACTGTCTTTTAAAAAAAAGTTTTTCGTGAAAGTAGTTTATATATTCATTTACTTGGCATATTTAGAAATGTATTTTCTAATAAACAAGAGCAAGAACAAAAAATTAATAAACTATTATAATAATAAATATTTTATTGAAATAATTTGAGTTATTATGATGTCATTATGCGTTATTACTTTATTTTGTTTTGTGCTTTTGATTCGAATTTCTTATACTTACTCAGATCGAATGTATCAAAAATCTGTTTTAATATTTTTAAAAAACAATTTTAAATTTAAGTTTCTCTAAGTTATGAAAATAAAACGTCTCGCTTTGCCTCAGATTACCCTATTTAAAACTGTAGTAAGACAATAAAACTGGTTTTTGATATTACTTTCTTATTATTAGTTAAGTAACGTGTACGACTTAACTAATCTTTTTACATATATATGTATATATGTATACACGTATATATGTATATATGTATATACGTATATATGTATATATGTATATATATAATCTTTGAAAGACATATTCTTGTTATACGTTATAATGTAATTAAAATTTATTAAAAACGGTTGAGTATAAACCTTTTTGAAAAAATATATATATTTTTAATTTTAATATATACAACCCTACAACCCCCGAAAATTCTCTCTGTACTTATCTATTCTACACCGATCATTTTAGTAATTTTTCCTTATTTAATTGTATTTACGTATGAAATGCAGCCCACGTATGTATTTTGAATATAAGTTCTATTTATATAAAAGTGTTAAGAGGAAATTAGAATATTTGTAAAATAATAATTTATGAATCCTAGACCATTAAAAACTATAGACGCGGCCTTAGCTATAAAACGTTAATTTAAAAGTTAAGCCAAAAAGGTTTTGCGCACTGACTTTGCTTGTGGCAAAAAAACTTATACGACAAGTTTGCTTTTACATTTTTTGACTAATTTTGATTTTTTTTTTTTTTTTAAACTGAGATCGTAAAACTTGCCCAGAGGTGGAATTTGAACCACGGATCCTTTGTTTCTGAGGCAAGTGCGCTACCACTGCGCCTTGGCTACTGGCTTTGGTTCATAAAATTGTACAAAAAAATATAAAACTGGTAGTCGTAGCGCTACCACTTTGCAACAGCTGCTGTTTATGGTGCATACAATTGCACAAAAAAATATAAAACTGGTACAGATATATATTATTTTACAGATAATATAGTCTTTACTAGAATATATCCTATAAAAATACATTCTGTATCTTCTTATTTCAATCTGTTTTATTTTGCATTAAAAAAACAATCAGAAAAGATTTTAAAAAAATGCTGCCATGGTAAAAATTTTTGTTCAAAAGCCCTGCCAGCTAACCATTCGACTACACTGGCATGTTGTCTAATAAAAATTTGGAAACTATATAATATATAAAAGACTTTATAAAACGGAAATAAATACTGTAGATCAAAATTAAGGAGATGTTGCCGCAAAGCAATTTTCAAGGAAGAGTTAAGGATATTTTTATAATTAGCTATTTGCATACACTTTCGTTCACGTTTTATTATATAAAAAAAAAAAAGTGTTGAGACTCTTTCTTGCCACTACTTTTGTTGAAATGGCTACTGAGGGTTTCGTGTCAAACACACTCGAATTAGCATTAATATTTTGCTTTTATACTAGAATATGATTATGCGTGTAATATTATAACACGCTATAGTCATAATATATTATAGTTATAATTTATTACACGCGTCTAGGGTGTAATAAATTATAACTATAATTAGTTTAATTAGCGTAAATTTATATGCCGTAATTAGCAACTCTCATCTAATAAAAACGCTATTGAATATTTTGCGTTGTTAAAATAGTATCATCACACGTGAATAAACCTGTGGTGCAAAATTTTGATGCTAAAATAATGAAATTTAATTTTTTATAAAGAAAAATATGTTAGTTAGTAATCCGTTCCATTTTTGTATGAAAAAAAATGTATAGAAACATTTAGTTTTGACTTTATTTTAAGATACCATTTTTGTGAAATATTAGCATGCTCAAATTACCCAGCATTTTTCATTCAAATTATCTAGTTTTTTTAGTGTAGTGGTTTTAATAGCTTTTTGAATAATAACAAAAATAGCAAAAGTTTCTAATATTTTTTATATTTTTGTACTAAATATCTTTCTCTACTTTAAATAGAAAAAAATTGAATTTTTAATGTTTGGGTTCAAAAAGAATCATTCAACTTGGGTTCAAAAAGAATCATTCAATTTGGGTTCAAAAAGAATCATTCAACTGATCATGTGGTAGTCGATCTAATATATTATATATCGAATGGGTTCAATAATGATTGCTATACATTAGGAGTTTTTATTGATTTGTCAAAAGCATTTGACACTGTAAACCATGATGTTCTTTTAAAAAAACTAGAACTGTATGGAATACTTAATAATAACTTACTATGGTTTAAAAGTTACCTGTCAAACAGAAAACAATGCATATTATATACAGCAAATGAAACTGAAAATCATATTATAACTTGTGGTGTTCCCCAGGGATCAATCCTAGGGCCGCTCTTATTCCTACTCTATATTAATGATTTATACTTAGCATCCAAAGTTTTAAATGTTATTTTGTTTGCTGATGATTCGAATTTTTTTTACTCACACAATAATATAAAAAAACTGTTTAGAATATCTAACGAAGAATTATTAAAAATAAATGACTGGATTACAAATAATAAACTTTCATTAAATGGTGAGAAAACTAAATTTATCTTGTTCCACAAACCTCGTAGGGGAGATAACCTTTCTCTAAAATTACCCAATCTCTTTATGAATAAAACAATTATTAAAAGAGAGTCAACTGTTAACTTTCTAGGAGTGATTATAGATGAAAATTTATCATGGAAATATCATATTAAATCTATTGAAAACAAAATCTCTAAAAATATTTCAATGTTATATAAAATTAAACCATTTCGTAATATTGAGTCTTTAAAAATTGTATATTTTTCATTTATTCATAGTTATCTTTCTTATTGCAATATTGCATGGGGAAGTACTAATTATGGGAAACTTAAAAAAATCTATAGATAACAAAAACATGCATGTAGGATTATATAAAAAAAAATGTTTATTTACATATCTTATTATACGATTTACTACTTGTAATATATTGTGTTGTATTTTGTAATTTTTAACTTGTTACATAAACTGAAGGCAACAATGTAAACGGGGCTTGGCGATAAGACAATATACGTCTTCTTCTTGCTCCGGCCATATATTATATATGTACGATCTTTCTTATTGTAAATTTTATCAAACGGCAAAAAAAAAAAAAAAAAAAAAAAAAAAAAAAAAAAATGTTTAAAGGTTTGGGTTAATTTTAATAAAACTGAAAAAGTAACGAATTTTTGTAGCACTGTTTCAATAAAAAGTGGTTTAAAATTTAATCATTTAATGTAAGTTTTGTTGATAACAAATTATTATATTCCACAAATTAGTTCAAACCGTCAGGTTGGTATTTTTTCACTTAATCAATATATATTTTTTTTTTGGCTAGTTTAAAGTGCTCAACCAAGTGGTATAGGTAATATGAGAACTTTTGCTACTTTTTAAAAACCTCTGCAAACAAGGCCGTCCCAAATGAGGGGGGGGGGCTTGAATCCCCCTTCCAAAAGCTGTCATATAAGCATTTGAGTTGGCACATTGAGCAAGTCTTGATCTATAGTTGGCAAATTGCAAATATTGATTACCTTTTTTTTTGAATAATAATAATAATAATAATAATAATAAGGTATAACTGTAACAACTGTTTTAAACAGTTGCGAAGTGCAATAACATAAGATATTGCACTGTAACAGCTCATTTTGTCTTTTGTTTGTGTTTTAACAAATAGTTTCTGCAAAATCCAGCTCTGTCTAGTTTGTTTTTGAACTTATTTATTGAAATAGCTTCTATTATTTCAGATGGTAAGCTGTTCCACGCATTTACAACTCGATTTTGGAAAAAATGATACCTGAAGGTATTTCTGCTAAAAGGTTTCCTCATTTTGAATTTGTGTTGTCGCAGACATGGACCCTCCTCCAATGCATTTCCACAATCGTTAGCAACCCAATTTATTTTATCGTGGCCATGCTGAATTTTATATTGTTGAATCAGATCTCCACGTAGTCTACGTTCTTCCAGTGACGTTAATTGCATAATATTCAACCTAGCCTCATATGATAATTTCCTAATTGTAGGTGCTAGTTTGGTTGCTCTTTTTTGGATTTTCTCAATCTTGTCTATGTCTTGTTTTAAAAATGGAGACCATGCCTGGACCGCAAACTCAAGATGTGGACGTATGAACGTTGTATAGAGCATTTTTACCATGTTTACATCTAAATATTTAAAGCTTCTCTTTATGGTACCTAACATTCTGTTTGCTTTGCTGGTTGCTGAATCAACTTGTGAGTGCCATTTTAAATCGGATTGAACCATTATACCCAAATCATGTTCAGCTTTTGTGTTACACAATGTATAATTGTAATTGCAATCAATATCAGTCATTATAAATGTAGCATTTGGATTTTTTTTCCCAATATGCATAACTTTGCATTTTTCATAATTAAATTTTGTGAGCCAAATAGATGACCATGCCATTATGTTATTTATATCATTTTGAAGGCTTATTGAATCATTAGGATTTTTTATAATATTTATTATTTTACTATCATCAGCGTAAAGTTTAATAGGGTTTTTGACTTGATCTGGCAAATCATTAATAAAAATCAAAAACAGCAGTGGTCCTAAAACTGACCCCTGTGGTACACCACTAATAACTGGTAGCCAATCTGAGACTGTGTCGCCAAGGACCACTCTCTGTTTTCTGTTAGTTAAAAAGTTCTCTATCCATCCCAGATAATTTCTCACAATACCATATGATTGAAGTTTAGTGATCAAACGCGAGTGTGGTACTTTATCGAAAGCCTTTTCAAAGTCTAGATACAACATATCAACTGAGTGGCCATTTTCTAGTGCATTTTTCTATATTTTCTAGAATAGAAAACCTCTTTGGAACGGCCGTGTCTATATATTTATGAAAAAGTTTCGAGTGCCCAAATATCTAAGCGGATCATGAGTAGTGATTATTCACTAAACTGTTTATTCACAAAACTGATTATTAACCAAACTGTTTATTCACAAAAAAGTTTGGACCCAGCATAATTATTTTTAAAAATATTTCAATTCATGCTTATAATACCCTAATCTGCCCTATTTGTTATTCTATAATTATAGAATAACTCGCTGTATAACATTTTTATAATATAAAATGATTACGTTCTTGTTTTGTCTAAATATTGATTGCCTTCTTTTTTGTTTCTGAAATTTATTGTCTTTGTCTGAAAATTGATACGTGTTTGTTTTTTTCTAAAAACTTATTGCATTCTTGTTTTTGTCTTAAAATTGATTACGTTCTTGTTTTGAAAAACGGAGAAACAGAAGTATAAGTTTTTAACAACTGTTTAAATTATTTTTAGAAAGAAATCACAACAAAAACCGATCTAGGTAAAGTAATCGATCTAGGTAAAGTAATTGATCTAGGTAAAGTATTCGTTTTTTGTATACTTCGATAGTATGTATAAATATTATCTATTTGAACATTACATTTATTAGTAGATGTTTTAAGAAACACAAAATAAAAAAAAATAACTATACGGTAACTCTAAACCAGTAAATACTGTTTACCAATTTTTTTGAACTTTTATCTCTTTAATTTACAATGCTTCGATTGTTTATGACGTTTTAATTTAAAAATTTATTTATTTAATAAACGCCATAATTTTTGACAATAACTCTCTAGCTAGCATATTATACTTCTTTGAAAGAAAGGAGGTGATATGATTTGGGAATTAAAATACTTTATTGAACTTAATGTTAACTCAATTATTTACATGTCAAATATTCGGCTGAATTAATTTTCGCAAGCAGATTAACAGAATCACGTAGATAATAAAGTTTGAATTTTTGTTAAGGGTACGCTTTAAGACGTTTTTAAGTTAAAATAACCTTAAACTTAGCTAAGTGGCTTCGCTCTTTAGGGCTACCATGAAGTTTTTTTTTTTCGTTAGGAAAAGAAATTTATAATTGCTTCCACTTTATAATGTTATAAATATTAAATAATGTAGAAATTGTGTAAATATAATGATATAGGGGAAAGACGCCTATGATGGCATACCGGTCATATTTTCATAAATATTTTTTATGGCGAAAAAGTGATTAGACCAACATGTCTATACTGATTTTACATTAGTTTTAGTAAAAATACGTCCTTTATCCACAAATATCGCTATTATAATAAACAAAAATCGATTTTGGGATGTGATGTTGTATTTTTAATCCCTTTATATATTTAAGATTGTGATTTTATTATTAACTGTGCAGAAATGAAATTTTCATGCATTTTATTTCCAAGTTTTGTTCATTTAGTGGAATACTTATTTTTATTTTATCTTTTGAACAAGGCAGACATAGCTTGTTTAAATGAAAATGATGACTTCTATGACGGCATACTGACGAGTTAGGTGTGTTATATATTATGTGTTATGTATTATACGAGTTAGGTGTGTTCTATGACGGCATACTAGACGAGTTAGGTGCAACATTATCGAGTTGAGAAAAACTTTTTTTCATAAAAACAACATATTTATTTATGAAGTAAAAATTAATTTTTACTTCACTAAAAATTTTTTGGTTCCAAAAACACATAAAACGCAATATCTCTTATGCGCATGCGCAAAATGCTACACTGCTGTTGTGTAGCACAAAAGGGTTAATTAGGATGATTACGCGTAATTTCTGGCATTTTCTGAGGGAATTTCTGGCATTTCTGAGGGAAGACTCTAAGGTCAAATGAAATCGTCAAGTTACCTTTGATGCTAACCACTCCCATCCTCCCCTAAGCCATCATAGGAGCAGTACTTTTCCATGATGGCATACTTGTGCTTATTTTTTTAAATAAGAATAACTAATAAAAAACAAAAAAAAAAACTGATGAAAACTTCTGAGTTATTATTTTTCTACATGTAACAAAGAATGTATCAATATCAAAACTTTTGTTCTTGGTCTTCAGGAAACTGAATAATGAAGCTTCACAGTTAAGTATGCCATCATAGGCGCCTTTCCCCAAATATAAATATTTGATCTGAATATTACATTGCAAGAATTAATTTTCAAAAAATAGTGGAGAGTGCAATTAGCATTTTAATACTAATAATAAAAAATAATAATTATTAATTATAATTTATACATTTATAACAATGATAGTTATTATTTTTAATAAAAAAAATATTTTACAATAATAATATTTATAATAATTATTTGAAGATATTAAACACTAAGTTAAACACTTAGGCCGCTAAACTGCAGGATTACACACTTTATAAGTAAAGACCAAACCATCTGGCATTGATAAACAAGAGAAAAAAAAATGTAATAATGATGATTTGTGCCGAAACGGTCAAACTTAGAAAAAAACTCTGAGGGAGCAGATGAATATTGAAAGAGCCGGGGAAAAAATGTTAAGTAAGAGTCAGCAGTAAAAAAAGAAACAAGATTTTATTTAATGCATAAGTTTTAGTTATAAATGTATTATTTGTATAGTTATGTTAAAAAAATACATGCATAAATTATTATGAAACAAAAAAAATTTATTTAAAATTATCTTTTTAAAAAACAATGTCGAAAAAAAACTGATTTTAAAAGACATTCATGCAATAACGAAAATAGTTGATCCATTAATGCAAATCATTAGGTTTTTGTCAAACTTGGGAAGAAATCTTTATTTCCATGACGAAAATAATGGATAATAAAAAAACGGTTAAAAATAGCTACTTCGGATCTGTATACAACATGACATGAATTCGCAAAAACATAGTGTCCACTGGCAAATTAAATTTATTTCCAGACTAAAAAAAATTACAAAAGTTGTATATAATTTTATATTAGAATATTAATACCTAAAAAAAAAAATAAAAAAACGAAATAATAATTATATTTACGAATTCATAATACAAGAAACACAATTACCAATGTAATAATAATTATATTTATAAGTTATCTATATATCATCCAGACCATATTTTGAAAATCTGGAAAATTATTTTAGTAAAATAAACAGAAAAAATCCAGAGTATATTTTCCTCTTAATTTTGCTTTTAGCTGAAATGTTTCAAATTTTTTTTCAAACTTTTCTTAGTTTTGTATAAGTGATGAGTGAAAAAGGTAAAAAAAGAAGTATATTATAAAAATATACCTTAACTTGTGTGTATGGAAAACGTTTTGGATATCTGGAAAAACTAAAAGTTGAGGAAAATATACGGAATTCCGGAAATATCCGGAAAAAGATAATCCCTGGTTATCCAAAAAGGTTACAAAAAATTGACTAATTGCACTGATTAAACCTTACCTTTTTAGCCAAACAGAGTTCAGTGTTAGTCACGTAAACCAACATCCAGCATCTAACGAAAAAAAATTTACTCAAAAAAATAGAAAAAGCCAATTATATATAAGTCGCGGCATTTTTCGAGTCAAAGTCATTTTTCTAAATTTCGCCATTTTTTCTTTATAGTATATAAAATTATTTTTGTAAAACTTTTATTACGTTGAAATGTTTATAAAGTGGATCTAAAAAAAACCGAATACTTCCGCCGTCAATCTTTTTAAATGTTTACGCCACAATTAAATTTCAAAAAGTGCCCAACGTTGTTGAAACGTTGTTGAAAAAGTTGATGCATTTTATTTTTCTCTTAAGAACAAATCGTTGCACTATGCCTTAGAATGATCAAAAAACGGCAAAAACTCAACAAATATTGTCAAGCATCGTAAACAAACATGTTATATGTTGAAATAATAGTTTTTGAGTCAAAGAGTTCAAATTTGTTAATACTAATATTTTTTTAATAAACTTGAATTCCTTGAAAAACTTTCACCGTTCTCTAGTCTATTGGTTTGTATTGTATTAATTTTTGGTAACTTTAGCTGAGTTACTTTCACTTTACTATAAAAATACTATAATCACTTAGTGAAGTCGAAAAACGACTAAGCATATTCTTACATATAGGCTTCTTTATAATAAGAGACAAATCCACTTTTTGTCGATTTTGAAAGCAGTTCGGTCTCATCATAGCTAAAATTGTATTGAGTTTAATATAAAATCATATTATGAATTTAAAATGCAAGTCAAAAGTTCCCAATAAATTAAAAATAATTCAAAATCACGTTTTAATAATGATAAAATACTTTAAAAAGTCTTTTTATGAGTCTATATATTATCAAAAAGTATTATAATTCATAAAAATGCTTTAAAAGCGTCTGTTGTTTCACTTTTCTATTCAAAAATTTAATCCTTATCTAATCGAAAATAAGTTTCAAGGGTTGAATTAAGCGATCGCGAATTGAAAAATCAGGAAAAATACCTGGTCTTCAAAATTTTAGTTTATGCCAAACCGTGTTCTTTGTTTTCAAGGGGCGAATCAACTTAAATTTGTTAGCGAAAAGGTTATAAAAGACAAAACAATAAAACTTACAAAAACTAACACAAAGCAACTACAAAAATAATAACACTCTACAGGTATACGTACCGCAAAAACAACCGTACCGCAAAAACCACAATGTTGGCTTAAGTGACCTAGCATGTAAAAAAAAATTCAGGATTCAAAAAACTTGATATATTTTGATAGCTAATATGTCAGCATATAAATTAAAGCAGTTTTAGTGTTTTTTTTTATTTGTTTAATATGTTGGTATCTGCACTAGAGTAAAATTTCAATTATAAAAACGTGTAGTTTTTTTTGTTTTGTGGAGCCTAGAAGCCGTATCAGAGAATAAGTTAGCAAAATATAGTTTTTCTATTACCTATGGATTATAAATAGATACTGAAAAAAGTTTTTTTTTCTCAAGTAGTTATAAATCTTTATAACACCCTCATAAAGAAAAGGAAGTATTATTGTTGTTTTTGGGGTACATTTTATAGAATTCACTTTACAGACCATGTTTTGAAATAAAAAACAACAACAATAAATTACCATTGTATTAGATTTTTTTTAAATAAAATAATATACATTTATCTTAAAAACAATATTTGAACGCAGCAGTAATAACACATCTAAAATGGCTGCAAACTTTATAACATTATTATAACAATAGGTTACTGCAACAATGTTAAGATATCATACATAAATAAAATACTTTAACTGATTACTTTAATTCAAAAAAAGATTATTGATTGTCGTTGCATTCGTTATAATGGTCGTATATCAGTCTTTTAGATGTGGAGAAGTGCTGGTTTGCTGGTAAAAGCATATCCGGTTTAACACCATCAACTCTGCAACTCGCTTTGCTGCAAATTGAACGGAGAACATCAAGACAATTAGGACATTGCTTTAGGCCAAAAGCTTGACATTTCCTTTGTTTGCAAAAACATTCAACTTGACATTTAATAAACTTTTCTTTAGCTTCTTTATTTTTTTTGGCTTCCTCCTTTGCTGTTACCTTTCGTCGTTTCTCTTCTTTTATATCTTTCACTTTTGCTGCAACATCTTTTGCACGCATCGAACCATAGACCTGAGTAACACGAGTAGATATTTTTTCAAGGTTTGGTTTAATTTTCTTAATAGTTAGCAGATCAGGAATATTTTCTAATTGGAGGCTTTGCTTAGCCATTTCTCTAATCAAGATTTGACACGGTCAAACTTATCTTTCCAGTAACTTGCCGAACCTTTCCTTATACCAACTGGTGACGAAATGGTTGATTCAGGTTTTTTAAAAGAAGTTGACGCTGGTTCTTCTTTATGAATGCATGCAGCAGCTCGCTCAAATTTATTTTGTGGCATGAAGTTAACATTTAATTCAAAAGGTGTTATTCCAACTCTTTTTGCACTAGAAACAAGAACCGGTTTCGATGTCCATTTCTTCCATATATTGCCTAAGATGGTCATAAATCCCTCTCGATTAATTGATTGCATTGGGTTGAAAAGATAATTCTTGGTAATTCTGTACTCATGATGAAGATTTTTATTAACCTGGTCAAGCAACTGAGTTACACCAGTAGTGTCGGGAGGAGAAATAAATAACCAAATTTGTTTTGAAAGGAGGTATATTAAACCGTCATAACTGAATCGTGAACTATGTCCATCAGATAATAAAACAACAGGTCGTTCTATTGCCTTCTCAGTAAGGTAATCATCAAACTCTTGGCAAGCCGCCTTAAAAGTGTCATTATCTGAAATCCCATTTTCAGATGTTGTAACAAGGAGGTGACTGATTTTTTCTACAGCTACTTGTGGTGTCATCTGGCTTGTTAATCCAACCGAGGAAAAAATGACTTGACATATACAAACATCACCTGAAAAAGACACAATAGGGTGAACTGAAACACATTCCCTGTTTTCTTTATGCATTTTTAAGAATTGTTCACCTTTCCCTGCATATACCAAGCCTGTTGAAGTACCATCAACACCATAGTTCACAAATTGTGGTGTCTCATCATCATTAAATATTCTTGTTGTGTCAATGTCACCCTTCCATACACCCTCGTCTACGTTTTCAGCATTTTTCATAATACCGGCTGCCTGAAGTTCCATTGCAAGATCATTAAAATGATTAAAAGCCATTTCTCGAGTACAGTTAAGTGCTGTTTATTGATACCTGACCCTGGCGTTTAATTGTTAGGCTTGAATGCTTTGCATGGAATCGTGTCCAAAATGAACAACTAAGTCTGAAACAATAAAAAATGGTCTAAAATATTCTATAGAAACAACCCTAAACATTTGACTTGCACTTACAAATGATCAACATTCACTGCTATATAATTATAAAATTATATATAAAAAAAGCAAGGCTGCAAATATTACTATTGAGTAATTTTGATTATGTAAATTTCATTTTTTCTTTAGATCAAACATGAACAAAAAATCAACAAAAAATCATTAGACTTGCTTCCCATTAACCAGACCTGATTTTGCATTAGGAGACAACTTAGATTGTAATTTTTCCTGTCTGAGCTGAAATTTTCACTTCATTTTCTATGTTAATTTTTTTCTAACTCTTTTTGATTAAAAAAATTATTGTTAAACATTTTAGAGTACATTAGTTGCTTACAGAACATATCTAAATACTAAAAAACAATTTTCAAGTAAAAATTTAGAATTTGCTCTAGGTTCAAACACAAAGTAAGTTTTAATAAATTCTTGCAACTATTATGTTCTAAAAATGATATTGATTTTTAATACGTAAAAAACACGATGCAAACTTTGTTTAAAACACTGCAATGACATCTTTAGAATCAAGAGGTTACATAGAATCAATATAGTAAAAAGCGAGAACACATGTATAGCCTATAAAATGTTATTTTTAAAACATCAATGTTGTTTTGGGGTACCTATCTTGTGGTTTTTGTGGTGCATCGGGTATTTTCTCCAAAATTAAGTTAGCAGTAACTGGTTTTATTTAAAGCAGATCAAATAAAATTAGGACACGCCAAATTTCAGCTTCATAGGTTCACTTGCTGCAGAGATACAATCGATAAATTGAATGCGGTTTTTGGGGTACACATACAAAAAACAACAAAAGTTTAGTTAACATTATTAACAAAACTATTTCTTAAAAATTAATCAAACTAGCTGGGAAGAACTGATTTTAAGCAACTCTAAATACATTCAAAACAGTTTTTCTCAAAAGCAAATAACAAAAAAGTTATTGAGATGTGCTTTTTTTGGTGTTTTTGCGGTACGTATACCTGTAGTAACAAACTGCATTATAAAAGTAATAACACAATGATAGTGTTATTACTTTTATAACGCACTTATAATTTTTATAATTCATTATTTGTTCAAACAACATTGTTCAATCCTAAGTTTTAATTGAAGTATAAAAGCATCTAGAAAAATAGAGTGGATATTCAAATAATATTTAAAACTTAAGGAACTTAAACAACTTTATAAAGACGTACTGTATAAAAAGTTTGTCATTAGGAAAAACGCTGTTAACGGTCTGTAAAAACATGCGTTAATTTTAAAATCAACAAATAAAAATTTTTTATTTGTTGGTTTTTAAAATTAATGAGCGTTTTTACGGATGCATTTTAAACAGTACATTTTTTATAGTTGTTTAAGTGATTTGTAAAAGTTTCTGAAGTTTTTAACAATATTTGAATATCCAATTCATTTTTTCTAGATGCAATTCTAATTTAATTAAAGTTTGGAATTACTAATGTTGTTTGAACAAAGAATAAACTTTAAAAGTTATAAGTGTTTTATATAAGTAATAATCGTAATGTTATTACTTTTATAATGCAGTTAGTGACTAAAGTGTTATTACTTTTGTAATTATAAGTTTATTGTTTTAATTTGTTTTTTATAACAATTATTTTGTCTTTTCGCTAACAAATTTATAATAATTTGCTCCTAGAAAACAAAGTACACGGCTTTGAATAAACTAAAATTTTGAAGACCAGATATTTTTCCAGATTTTGCAAATTGCGATCGCTTAATTCAACCCTTGAATTTAGGCAATGTTGATAAACAGTATAAATATTCTTCCCCCCACTTTTTTTCTGCAGCAGACGGCGGCTGCATCCCAATTAATTTTTAGTGGCAAAATTTTCTTTATTCCGCCTCCAGTGGCTTCTGCTTTTCTATTGGTGGTCGCAGTCAGAGTTTGTTTTTTGAGGCAAAATGTTTCGGAGGCAGATGCCAATAGAGAGGCGGAAGCCAATGGTGGCCGCCTTCAGAAGAAATTCTGAAAGCAAAAGCATTTGGAAGCCGCCTTCAACATCTTCTGCCTCCCAGCTGGCTGCGGTCGCCAAATTAAAGGCAAAAATATTTGCCTCCGGCCAGCAGATAAAAAATAATTGCACGTTTGTCTTTAAGTTAACGAGCAATTAAAATATTAACTGAGAACAAAATTTAAATATTTGACACCAAAGTTTTGTTTTATATGATTTATTTATTATTTTAATGTTGTTTTTCTAGGACTATCGAAGAAACTTTCAACTTTTAAACGCTTTAAATCGCTTAAAACTTTAAAACGTGTAAAATTAAATGATATTTTTAAACGTTTTAAAAGGATAGAGTAAAATATAAATAATATTTATAAAAGTATATATATTTAAAGTTTATAAATTTTTGTTTTTTTGTAATATGGAAAAACTATTACCGTAATACAGCGTAGTCGCAAATTTTCAATAACCATTAGAAAAATGTTTATTAAAATTTTTTTTTAATAACTTTTACAATATCTAATTATTAAAAATAAGTATTTAACATTATGGCAAATGATAAAATAGATTAAAAATTAAGCATGTCAACTTGTTCAAACAAACTTTGACCAAAATCAGTCAATTTAATTACTTATTATAATTTCTTTTTTTATCAAAAGATTTATTCGCCAAAAAAACTTTTAACTTTTGTTTTGAATAATAAAACTACTAATTTATTCTACTTAATTTATTAGTTTTAAAAAATATATATATAACTTTTTTAAATACTAAAATATGCAAATAATTATATAAAATGAAACTTGATGTCAAATATTTAACATTTGTTTCTAGTTAATATTTAATTGCTTTAAAGAAAGCGAGAAGTTATTTTAATTACATACCACCAATGGTTTTTGCTTCCATAATGGCGTCGGCCTCCAAAACATTACGCCTCCAAAAATTAACTCTGGCTGCGGCTGCCAATAGAAGGGCAGAAGCTACTGGAGGCGGAAAAAAGAACATTTTGCTGCTAAAAATTGAATGGGAGGCTGCCGTTAGTAGCTTCCACCTCCCTAAAAAGTTTGCCTTTCGGCAGAAAGTTACTTTACCGCCAGACGGCATTATCAACTCTGAATTTAGGAATCATAAATTAATATTTTACAAGTATTCTAATTTCCTCTTAACACTTTTAAATAAATAGTATTTACATTTAAAATATATTTACATCCTTCAAGAAAAAAGTTGAGTAATATTTGTTTACAAATTTAATCCGCCACTTGTAAAAAGGGCAGAAGTGGCTTCACTTGTCTGATTGAAGTTTGACATCTAATTTATGTAATATATTATTGAGAGATATAGACGATATATTAGTTATTTTTGTCCCTCGTTAGTTATTTTTGTCTCTTTGCAATGACATCGCAAATGGTGGACACTTTTTTCTAACGGTTAGGAATACCTATTTTATGGAGGAAAAAAAAAAAAAAAAAAAAAAATTAATAAATTAAATTAAACGAAAAATAAAATCAACAAAAAAGAAAAAAAAAGCTAAACATTTTAAAAGAAAAGAAAACAAAATATCTGAAAGAAAATAAGTAAAAAAGAATGAAAAAAGAAACTATTTAAACATTGGCAACCGATTAGTTAGCAGATTGAATATATAATAGTTAAGTTTGTTTGATAACATTGATTGTAGCGTGTATAAGTACACTTTGTAGACATTTAACTTGACGAAATAACTATTAAAGTACACTGTTTGCTTGAATTTTATAAACACGCCGTGATTTTTTGTGCAATTGCCGTGAATTTTTACTGACCTAATATTTTAATACAGAATTTAATGCTGCTGTTACCCATTTTTGTGTGTTTGACATGGAACTCACGGCAGCCATTAAAGACGAGTTAGTCTGACGAGAAACAGTCTCTTTCAGCACTTGTTTAATAAGAAAATGTGACGTCTAACTAATGTAAATTTAAAATTATATATCCAGTTTAATTTTTCACATTTTTACAACTAATTTGAGTTCGCGTAAGGAAAAGGGTTATACAATATGTACATATAGTATCTACAGAATTATAGAATTATTTTGCTTTGCATTAAAAAAAAAAAAGAAAAGCAAGCTGAGGATTTGAACCTCTTGCGCGTCGACCCTAACTTTTAATTTATAAAGTTAAGACGTTTAATGCATGGTTTAATTCAAATTCCTAATTTTGTATTTAAAATATAGCATTTTATTAAAATTGTTTTATTTTAAATAAAAGGAAATTTTAGAAATACTATATATTATAATATTAATATATAAATTTAGGGGTTTAGAGCTATTTAATCACTCATTTATAGTTTAATTTTTTGAGCCATCTAAGACGCTTAAATCTAAAATTGAATTATCGATGCACACACGGTTAGCTTTATAAAACCTGTATTTCTTATATAACCTTTACAAATCTCCTAAGTATCTCTAAATCTTTCTATTATCATTATCATAAATTATATAACTATTGAATATACGTTTATTTATAAATAGTATGTAACTTTTGTAATTTGAATCTGTTTTTAGAACTATTATTATAACTACAAATCACCTGGAGAAATGTTACGCAATGGTCATCCGTGTTAGAGATATTAACGTTAATGTTATGTAAGTATACATATAAATATATTTATATAAATATATATATATATATATATATATATATATATATATATATATATATATATATATATATATATATATATATATATATATATATATATATATATCAAAATCAAAAAAAATACTGACATAATATGAATAAACAAGCAAAATAAACTTACGGAAACTGCTTTTGTGAAGATGCTAAATATATTCAAAATAATGGAATTAAATATGAAAAAAATAATTATGTGTATATACTTTTAAAAAATAATTTTACAAAAGAAGCTTTCAAAACTGCCAGCTTCTATGGGACCTACCAGCCCTAGGATTGGGGCTTTCTGCTCAAACCCCTTGGTATATCCTCCTATTGCTTAACATTTTAAAAATAGTTCCTTTTCAAAAGTCCGTCAGTTCACCTGTTGTAAAACTCTAGCTTATAAAAGCATAAGATTGGTAAAATATAATATAGTATTACTCATATATTCATAGTATTTCATATATTCATAGTATTACTCATATATTCATAGTATTACTTATATATTCATAGTATTTATTATTTATTATTAGTCAAAAATATAAATGCTACTCAAAATTACCATTAAATATTTGCTTTAAACTTTCGGGATGCACAAAACAAGTCTGATCAGATAAAGCAACATATTGTTTAATTGATTCATCATAAGCCACTATGATGGCATCTCCAATCGATATTCTAAAAATAAAATTGCTTGTTTGAAAATATTCAAAATTAAAAAAATTTAATAGAAATTAAAAAAATGCATGTTCTTACTTCTTCCAGGTTATTTTTTCTTTCCACAATGACTCTAAGACCAACTTCTAAAAATAATTCTTAACAATTATTTGGCAATAATGCGAAAATCTACCAGGGAAAAAAGTGTAAAACTACATAGTGTAACTAATATATTTAAAAGAAATCTAAAACTTACATTTTTTATATTCTTTTCATTATCTATATACAAAATAAAAATTCAATACATATACATACATACATATATACATACATATATATATATATATATATATATATATATATATATATATATATATATATATATATATATATATATATATATATATATATATATATATATATATATATATATATATATTAGGGTAATAACTATTTTCATTTTTTTTTGTAATGAAACTGAAACCTATCACATTCGAGGAGCAATTGTATGCAGATGACAGTAGCAACGTTAATTTTTTTTTAAATTGAAAAAAGTTCCCCCACCTTTCAATTTTTATTGTTTCTTATATTACTCAATGAGGTATTTTCACAAATAAACAAAACCATGATAATGATCAACTATCACATGATGAATAAGAGATGCTTTTCGATTACTTTGAGCCTATTTGTTTACATAACTATAACCTCTCAATCACTGATCAGTATATATTATACCTATGCTCTCAAAAAAAAAAAAAGAAAAAAAGAAAAGAAAAAAAAAAAAAAAAAAAAAAAAAAAAAAAAAAAAAAAAAAACATTATTCCGTTATTAATCGATCAAATATATTTATCCATCACGTGACGTTTTTAAAAAGTTTTCCGGCTCATTAAAATACATAATTTGTTTAACAATTTAAATTTCACACTGACTTTTTATGTAATGTTCTAGGCTGCTTTTAAGCACATTTCTATCAACTGTCTGTTTCTATTTGTTTATAAGAAAAAAACATTTACAGATGGTAGTTAACTTTTTTATTTTTATTGATCCCAGCTTAAACAGTGGAAACTCGATCCAACATGGGGCAAGTTTAGTAAAAATAACTATTTTATTATTGATATATTTTATTTTCTGTTTCAGGTGGAAACATAAAATATATATATTCTGGAGTACTTTATAACATTTTGGAGTATTGTAGATTAATTACCTCGTTTTCAGTGCAAGATAGCAAGTCATCCAGAAAAGACATTTTGTCACTTTAATAAAATGTCTTATAGATATTCCAGAAATAGTATAGAATCAAACAGGTGTATCTGGATAAAAAATCTACCCTATTCTTCCAAAAATAAAAGAAATCCAAAGATTCCATCTGTTGAAAAACTAATCAATCTCATGCGGATGCCGAAAAACTGTCAAATTCTTGGAAACTTCACTTTTTTGTTCAATAGCGAGAAATGGCGACTGGATCAAATCAAGATTATGATTACAGATGTAAAAAAGCTTTGGGAGGAAATTCTAGACTTTCCACTGTTATCCAGCGCACTCATAAGAAAGAAGCTCAGCAGTCTGATTGATTTATTTAACAAAAACAAAAAGAAACCATCTGATAAATTCACTGCAACACTTTCTCAGTTATTTGATGTCACCAACGTTAATAGAGAATGGAAAAACACGGAAGATAAAAAGCTCTACCCAAGAAACGAATTCGACTATTAAAAACTCAATCCCAAGCCAGCTCTTCTCAATTGCATCCCACACAAACACATAAAACTGTCTCAGATTCTTCGAATTCTGAAACCCGATTCGCAAACCTCTTCTTCTACGTCATCTCCTGAATGCAAACCCAAATACCAAAAACCAGCACTACAGCAGCTGGTTAACTAGTATTGAAAAACAACATTTCTACACAAAAAGCACATGACCTTCTCGCAACCATTGCTAAACAAGGCCACGATGTGCCGGTTCCAAGTCAGGCGGGTGTCTGGAAAAGAGTCATCTCTGAAGGACAGAAAATGAAAACCAAAATTGCTCAAAAACTTAAGGGCAAAGATCCATATTGTCTCCAGTTTGATGGTAAAAGAGTGCATTCTGCACTCTTTTACCATCAAACTTTGATGTGAGAGTGATTCTGCTGCAGCCATTCACAAGGAACTATATCAGCTAATTGCTTGGAAACTATATCAGCTAAATGCTTGGGAAAATATTTGCATGATAATCTGTGACACGACTGCAGTAAATACTGGTCATCTGCATGGGATTGTAAAGCTAATACAAAATGATGTTTTAAGCAAGGGCTTTCAGAAACCACAATATATTGGCTGTCAGCACCATGTTCTCGACTTCCTTCTGAAACATGTCATGAATTTTTTTCTAATGTTCTCCATCTTATTTGTTTATAAAAGTTGCTTAGATAAGCTGTTATCTATTATTATTTTGGATAAAGCTAAAAAACATGTCCTTTTTTGAAAAAAAAACATTTTTTCATTTTTCTTTTCCTGTGTGAGCGGGGGAACTTTTTTTAAAAACATCAAAAATGGAATTTATATTCTTGAATTACACATAAAGTTTCCTCGATTGCAAGTGGTTTCATAAATTTTTTTTTTTGTTATAACCCTAATATATATATATATATATATATATATATATATATATATATATATATATATATATATATATATATATATATATATACATATATATATATATATATATATATATATATATATATATATATATATATATATATATATATATATATATATATTAGACATATAATATAAATATATATTTAACGTGATAAAAAAAGCCTTTGTTACGGTGAGTAAATAAACAAAAACAGCTTAAGTAGGCAAGGTATCATAAATTATGGACATTGGATCAATCAAAAAAAGTATATTGGACAGATGAATAAAAAATTCGAGTTATTTGGAACCAGAAGACGTCAGTATGTCGAATCATTGTTAGGCAAATATGTTAATGATAACTGTTTGAGTTATTTAGCGAAACACGGTGGTGGTAATGTCATGACTATGGGCGGTTTTGGAGGAGAAAAAGTTGTTAATATAGTTCAAATCAAATCAACAATTGATAAAAAAGTGTGCCATAGCATTTTGATTCATCATGCATTGCCATCTGGTATTTGTAATATTGGTAAGGGGTCTTTAAATAATAATTTAAGGGGTAAATTTAATATTGGTAAGGGGTTTGTCTTTAAATAAGACAAAGATCCGAGCACACTTTTGAATTATGTTAAAAATATTAGAAGAAATAAAAGCAGAAAGTGCCTAAAATCATGACTTGGCTTACACAATCACCTAATATAAACCCTATAGAGGAACTATGGGATGAGCTAGACGGAAGGGTATGCAAAATGTGGCCAACAAATATAAATAGTATCTAAGATGCCCGGAAAAATTTGTTGTAAAACAATTGAAAAGTTACTCTATTGAATGTTAAATTTCTGCGAGGCTGTAATACATGGTAAAGGTGGTCATATTGACTAGGGCAAAATCTAAATAAAAAATGCGTATATATTTTGTTTACTCAAAGATTCTTGATTTTAAGGTATTGTTGAAAAATGTATTAGTAAGAAACTTTTGAACGAATGAGCATATTTTGTTTTTTTTATAGACAATTCATACACTAACCAAAGACTTTTGCACGCTTATGTATATCATCACAATCAAATGTATATCATCACAATCATTATGTATATCATCACAATCAAAATTTTAGCTTATGTATATCATCACAATCAAAATTTGCACGCTTATGTATATCATCACAAAAAAACATATATAATATATTAGAATACACACACACACACACACACACACACACACACACACACACACACACACACACACACACACACAAACACACACATACACACACACACACACACACACACACACAGTCTTCTCTGTTTAAAATTTAATGCCAGCACACTAAAATGCGCTGGCCAGATTTTAAAAAATTTGTTTTTTAAATCCGCATAATCCAATTTTTCTTTTATTTAAATTAAAATAAAAACAGTGAAAAGAATGTTTTAAATCAATAATCGAAAAAACAATTAAAAAAACTACAACAAAACAAACATTTTATTTAAATTCTAAATTTAAAAATTAGATAATTAAAATATGTAAAAGATAAAAAAAAAGATAATTAAAATAAAAACAGCAAAATGAATATTTTATTCAAATTCTAAACAAATTAGTTCACTCATAAAAGTGTTTTCACGATTATTCATAAAAGTATTAGAATGAATTGTTGCTGCAATTGTCAAAAAACAATTATTTTTCGGCAAGCGCTTTTTTATGGGCTTGCCAAAGTTTTTGCAGACGTGTGGGCTGTATAACTTTATAATATAAATAATAGTATAATTAATAATAACATACAATCTAATATATTTGTTTCTTATTATATTTTTTACATATGCTACGCGATAAAGTTGTGCTTATTAAGAGTAGCCTGCTAGAAAAGTGTTACTAATTGTATTTGGTAAAAAAAATTTTAAAAATAACTGTTTTTTGTTCACACTCATATTATTCATAGCTCAGTGGTTAAGGGTTTTGTCTTTAGTGTCAACATTCTAACACTTCTGTGGTAGTGACAGATCCAGGAATTTTTGAAGGGGAGGGAGGGGGAGAGGATGTTGAATTATTTTGTATTATGTATCACTTTTGCGTCTCCTAAAATTAAAAAAAAAGTCTTTCTAATTATTTTTTACTTTCCTAAAATTTAAAAAAAATATCTTGGAAATTTTAGGACTTTCCTAAAATTTCCAAGATATTTTGGGATCTTTAAATTCTGGTAGGAATAGTGGATGCATACCCAAAATCGTACCCCTGATTCTGTCACTGTTCCACAGGTTTATGTCCACCCATATGCAAAAGTTTATTTTTTAGCTTTTTTCATCTTGTGGCTATTTCAAATACAAATTATAACAGTTTAAACAAAAAAGGTTTATAATTGTTAAACAAAACATAGTAATGTAACACTTAAGTACCCAAGGCTATACAAATGAATTTTTAACATTTGCAAAGTTATAAATAAAAATAACATTATTAGATATATATTTACATATCTGTATATAAATTTCTTATACTTGCTTATGAAAACGTGCTGAGAGACTCTTTCTCGTCATTACTGTGGCTTTAATGGCTGTCAGCAGTTCCGTGTTAAAGACATGAATGGACAATAACAGCAGCATTAAGTTCATTATAATTATGAAAAGATTATATATATTGCATCAAATGCATATATAAATATAATAAACTATA